AGGGGTGGTAATATTATAATGAGATCCCTTTGCCACGTCACCAAGGGAGCGAAATCAGACGCTGGTTTTCTCAGACGCTTTCAGAAAAAGGCTTACCAAAACAGTTACTGGGTTAATTTTTTCAAGTTTCCTTGGTTGGTAGATGCACCGGGGACCTGATTATAGCACTTAAAACCTGGAAAAGTCCGATTTTCATGATATGTCACCTTTTAAAGATTTTAAGATCTACATTTAACGTTCTTTTTTTCTCAGAGGGTCTTACTGACATCATCCTTTACCATCAGCCGGATGATAAGAGAAAGAACAGGGGCTTCTGTTTTCTGGAGTACGAGGACCACAAAACAGCAGCACAGGCCCGACGGAGGCTCATGAGCGGGAAGGTGAAGGTTTGGGGCAATGTGGTCACCGTCGAGTGGGCCGACCCTATTGAGGATCCTGACCCGGAGGTCATGGCAAAGGTCAGAACATTATCCAGTGCTAAACCACAAGGTGTTCTCTTTGGTGAAGGGGTTGTACTGAAAGACGATCACCTTCTCAGTTCCTGCTGAGATTCTCTTTCCACGTTCTCTTCAGATAACACTGTTCTGAAGCAGTAGGCTTCATGCTGGCAGTTTACTGTCGACTTGACGTTGGTTAGAGTCTTCCTTCTGCCATGGGAGCACTGTTGATCAAAGTCTTGGGGTTTTCAACTGACCTAAATGCCAGACCGATATAACGGCGCTTATATTTAGGCCCCGTCTTCTCTTACAACTTGGGAGCTCATGTTGTCATCTCATCTGCTCCTAGGTGAAAGTGTTGTTTGTCAGGAACCTGGCAAACAGCGTCACAGAGGAAATACTTGAAAAAGCATTCGGCCAGTTTGGCAAACTGGAGCGAGTGAAGAAACTGAAAGACTACGCCTTCATTCACTTCGATGAGAGAGATGGAGCGGTCAAGGTAAGACACTTTGGAATGAGTGTCCAGGTGCACGCTTCTGGTTTTGTTGAGCGGTCGTTACAGTGGTGTGACGGTATGGATGTTTGCAGGCACTGGCAGAAATGAACGGTAAAGATTTAGAGGGGGAGCACATTGAGATTGTGTTCGCCAAGCCACCCGACCAGAAGCGGAAAGAGAGGAAGGCGCAGCGTCAAGCAGCGAAGACACAAATGTGAGTTTTGTGGGTTTACAGCAGCGGTGTCTAGCCCTGCTCATGAAGGGCAGCTATCCTCGAGACGTCCGGTCCAGCTCTTATGCAGTGCACTTATGCCTTGTCCAAACACCCACACTTGTGGTCTTGGCCACTTAGGAGCGCATGCACATGACAGGAAGCAAGTGTGCAAGACTGTCCCAAGTCTTAAACACGCCAAAGCGTAGTTTCCTAAACCCACACTGTCTCCAATACCACTCCGGACCGCTATTTGAGGCTTAGTGTAACCCATCATGTTTTGAAATAATAATTTGTGAGACTTTTTGCCGAGAGGACACGGAAACCTTTCCAATGCAAGTTAAATATTAATATAATAGTTAGATATTACATATAATTTGGTCGAAAAACAAAGTCTTGCGCTTTTTATTGGTGCAATGATGAGTAGTGGTGGTATTTATTTTGTACAACATTTGCAGCTGCTTTTTATCACTTAATTACAAGCACCACAAATTAAGTTGTCATCTGTTTTAGGGACTACTGAACAGACATTTAGAAGTTGATTTTAAAATGTAAAGCAAAGATAAAGCTATTGCATTTTTACAACACTATAAGTGTGTCCCATCAGGTAATGAAAAGTTTGACACACTTGTGGTCTTCATGCTCACTTAAATACTTGAGCCAAATACAGGAAATACGTCATATAAGTAGTGAAGTGCAGAGACCACCAGTGTGGGTATTTGGACAAGGCATCGGTGTTTTGAGTCATCCTGAACACCCTGATTAGCTCAGGCAGGTGTGTTTGGTTAGGGTTGGAGCTGGACTCTGCAGCCCTCCAGGAGCAGACGCTTTGCAGCTCTGTGTCTCCGAGGTGAGCAATCTCCGAGCGGCTCATTCCATGTAAACATCCCTGTGCTCTTCTCTCCCAGGTATGATGATTACTACTACTATGGGCCTCCTCAGATGCCGCCTCCTGCCAGGGGCCGGGGCAGGGGTGCCTGTCGGGGCGGTTACTCCTACCCACCAGACTATTATGGCTATGAAGATTACTACGATTATTATGGTTACGATTACCATAACTACAGGGGCGGCTACGACGACCCGTACTACGGCTACGATGACTTCCAGGCGCCCGCTCGAGGCAGAGGGGGGCGCGGCGGGGCCCGAGGCGGGGCGTCTCCGGTGCGCGGCAGAGGGGCCAGCGCTTCACGGGGACGGGCGGGCTTCCCGCAGCGCGGCGGCGGGCCAGGGG